AGTTTCAAAGATCTCAGATTCCCTAACATTAGTAAGTAGTCTTAAATTTTCTAGGGGATGGGGATGATTCATGAAGGACTCTAATCAGAAATTCAGGTATCACACAAGGTTGACCAGGCAAAGGCTATCAAATTCAAGTTTCTCTCCTTCTGTATCACCCTATATACAGGGGCTGAGATAAAGAGCCTTCTTCTAATAGGAGTCTTAAACTGCCAGTTCTATACCTTAAAGAATTAGGTAATGAAGCATTAAGAGTTTATATATTCTATGATGATACAGTTCTGTTATCTCTATCTCTCTTTATATTTTCCAGTTGGACTGAGAGCACCACAATCTTTTCAAATTGCCGTTCTGCCCTTTTTCATATTCAATCAGTTGCTAAGTACTAACAATTTACTCTTTTTTTTTTTAGGCAATTGGGGTTAAATGACTTGCCCAGGGTCACATAGCTAGTAAGTGTGAAGTGTTTGGTCCGAAGGCAGATTTGAAAGTACTAACAATTTATGCAAAAATTTGTTCCCTTCTTGAAATTTCAACTCACATAGCTACTATCTTAGTTTGTACCCTCAGTAACATTCACCTGTCCTAAACAACTTTTCTAATTCATCTCCCTCTGTATCTTTCTCTTTTCTAATCCATCCTCTACACAGATGTCAAAATGATATTGGTAAAGCACAATTCTGGCAACATTACTCTATTAGATTCAAATTCTAGTAACTGTCTAGAATCACCTTTAGAGTTATTCTTCTGAATTTATAAATTAGAAAGCCCCTTCTAAAATTAAATTATATTAGCAACAAAATTCATAAAATAATTTTTATGGTGGCAAAGAACTAGAAATAAATTCAATGCCTAAAAAAGTATGTGATATAATGAAATGTAATGGAATACTACTGTACCATGAGAAATGAAGAATATAAAGCATTCAAAGAAGTATTGGAGGAACTATGTAACTAAAGCAAAATGGAGTTAAATCAGGAAAACAATATATCAATAAATTAACATTTATTAAGCACTTACTGTGGGCTAAATACTATACTATTCTAAGGACTGAGAGATATGAAAAAGCTGAAACAATCCCAGCTTTCAAGGAGCTTATATTCTAATAGGGGAGATAACATATACGTAAATAAGTATATACCAGATATAGCTAAAGTAGATACTAAGTAACCTAAAATGATTCGATAAGTAGTAGACTTCTAACTGCTAAGGTTCCCCCTTCCCTTTGCCACATGGGTTAAGCTAGGTTATCCCTGAAAGGCAACAAAACTGTCCCTATGACTTGATTGGCCAATAGGGCCAGGGCTCAAGGTGTATATCCCTTAGCAGGTCCCTGGTAGTCTCAGGCCATATTGAAGTGGCTTCACCAACAGACATAAAAAGGCCCATGCATGTCTAAATCCCAAGACCTGTATCCTGCTGACCAGAGGAGTTTTCATATGGAGATGACAGGAGCTGCTTCTACCCAAGCTATACGCATGCAGTCTCCTTGTAGAATATCCCTTCTATGCTATAGGAAAGCAAGCTTCTTTTTGTTAACTGTTGAATGATCTACATGTGTCTCATTTTGTTTTAATAATAAACCTCAATTAACAGAGTCCCAGCTTGACTAAGGCCTGCCCACTGTAGCTAGGGGGACCAGAAAAGGCATCTTTCAAAAGATGGAGTATGAGCAGAGTTTGAAGAAAGCCAGGGAGCTCTAGGATATAGAGGTGAAAGAGAAGTACGTTCTAGGCACTGGGGACACTGAGTGCAAAGGCACAGAGGTAGGAAATGGGACATCATGCAGTCAGCATGGTTGCAGTAGGTAGAAGATGGTTATTTGTAAGACTTCAAAAAAACAAGGGCTGAGATCATTAACAGCATTAAATGCCAAACAGTGGAGTTTGGAGTAGATCCTAGGGCCACTGGGCTTTACTGAGTAGGGAGGTGTCGGCCTTGTGCTGTAGAAAATCACTCTGTGGCTCAGAATGAGGAGAGATTTAAAGTTAAGAGGCAATCACAACTGTATAGGGCATGGGTGATGAGGTATTGACTTAGGGTGGTGACTGTGTGAGTGAGGGAAAAAGAGATGTTAATGTTGAAAGCAAAGAACAAAATTTGGCACCTGATTAAATCAAGAACAAACTTTGCCTAGAAGGTGCTTTGTAACCTGTCTATAATCTAACCTTCCTGGGCCCCCTCTGCCTTCATCCCCTTCATGTATTCTTCAGTTTTGACAAGTCAGCCTTCTTTTTCTTCCTCAAACATCATCCGCCATCCCCCAATTCCATGCCTTTGCCTGGAATTCACACTCTTCTGGCATCTGCCTAGCTTCTTTTAAATCCTGCCTCAACAAGCTCTTTTTTCCTCCATGAGACCTTTTCTGACTTCCCCAGCTCCCAGTGCCTCCCTGTGAAAGCTGCCTTGCATTTAGTCTGTACATATTTAACATATGTGCTTATAGGCTCTACATTTTCTGAGTCAGACACAACTAAAATGACTAAATAACACTGCCACCCTAAGATAAAGTCTATTTCACTTTTACATTTGTATCGATAGTCCTGAGTTCAGTGCCTGGCATATAGAGTAAGCACTTAAATTCTTCTTGATTAGCTGATTAATATGTATTTTATTATTACAGCTTTTTACAAATGTCCAGAAATAAATGAGCATTCCCAAATGGAAATAACAAACTAAACCATGTTTCTTAATACAATAGGTATATTCCCCCAAAATGTATGGAAATAAAATTTACATAAGAATCATATTTTATTACCTCCATTGATTTACATCCTAATTACAGAGGTACTTAAAACAGCTGACCCAGTACCTAACCAGCTTCACGACCTTAAGAAAGTTTTATGACATCTTTGGATCTCAATATTCTCATCTGCGAAATGAAGATAATTCTTGCTTTAGCAATGACAGAAGAAGATTATAAATGTGGGAGGATAAAATGAGATTAAAAATGAAATAGATGCCAATCTATCGGGGGCTCAGAGATCATCTAATCCAATCCACCTTACCCTACAAATGACAGAACTGTGCTCCAAAAACTTGAAATGATTTTGCATAAGGTCACAATAGTAGTAAGTGGTGGAGCCAAGATTAGAGCTTCAATCTAGAATGAGGGCCTCTTTCACTCCCCACACTGTCCTATGGAAGTACTCTGAAGTATAATAAGTGATATTTAAAAACATAGTTTAAGGTGCTACTGCTGTCCAATTCAAATAGGATGCTAACCCTTTAGTTCTAATTTCTCCACTGAGGAAAACACAGCTTTACACAAATACTTAGAAGTGAGAGACCAAATCTCTCTTCCTTCTCCTTTTCCACGACAGTTTAGATGAAAACTGGACCATTGATCTGGGATGGAAATGCCACACGGCTGACAATGAGCTCAGTCGGTACGTGGAGATGCTAAAGAACAAATCAATACTGGCGTACACATGCAAGGATTTTTGGCTTATTTTTTGGCTTGTTATTTGCAGTGTACGGCCTCATAGAACAACATGTACGTAGAAATAGTGTACCTAACATTTAAAAACACTGAACAAAATTAGGTTTAAGACTCATTACATATCACAAAATAGTCAACTCAATCACATCATCAAGTGGGGTTACGTGAGATTTTGCTTTTTTTCCTAGATTTCATCATATAATAACGCTTCCTGTCTGTTTGCGTGAGCCTGCTTCTGGAAGTAATGGATGAGAGGGAATAAGGGATTCCACGTTTCAACTTCAGAGCACGTGAAGAAGTTTGCAGACTGTTTCCCATTTGGTGCTTATCCTTCTGACTGGCTGATGAACTAGAAATGCAAGTGCATACAAAGACTCCAACAGAAGCAGTTCATTTTTCTTTCTTGCCTGGCTAGACTCAAGTGAGGAATTAAGGACTGCCGTAAGCCTCCTGGCGGGAAGAAAGAGGAAGCACAAGTGGCCTATCCTCCCTACCACAGTCAATATGAAGCCATCAGCATATGGCCCTGCTGTTCCTTCTGTCCCTGTTGTTTATTTCTGCCTGCCTGGGTGAAGCACTTTGTACCAGCTGTGACTCTGTGAGCCTCCAAAGAACGGGAGACCTGCAAGTGGTGCAGAACAGGATTTCCTACCAGCCCTGGGGAGCAAACAGCAGAGCACAGCCCAGCAAGGAATCAGAACCTGCAGCAAAGATGCCTTCTGGAGTGACTTCATCCACACACTACACCACCACATTTAGAAGTGAATTCTGTGGAATCAATGCTCTGTGGCAAATGCTTTCAGTTTGAGCCCATTCTCCCCAGAGCTTCAGGAAGACCTGAGTGCTATAGGCGAGTGGTATCTCCAGTCTGAGGGCATGGTCTAACTTTTCTTCTTCATATGCATCCCAGCATCTACCCTTTCATCAATGCTGACTGATGTAAAGTAATTAAATGAAACTGGAGTCCTCATCCCTGATGATGGATATTGAGGAGAACTTGAGGCGATAGAAAAGAACCCCACAACTATTTGAGAAGACCTTTATAAAGTTCCCCTTCCAAGGACCCAATTCATCACCGTGAGTTGAGACTAAGGTCCCCAAGAGTTTACAAGTGATAACAATAGAATTACAGGCTTTAGAGCTAGAAAGATAGAATTCCGTAATTTTACGTGTAAGGAAAATGAGCCCCAAGAGGTGAATTGGTTTGCCCAGTGTCAGAAAGGCAGTAAGCAGCAGTGTCAGGATTCAGCCCAACTTTTCTAACTTGAAATCCAGTGCTTTTCCCACTATGCCACACTATACTTTCATTGTTGAACTAATTTTTTCTAAGTTTAGCAGCTGCATTCAAGAAAAAGTAATCCCGGTTTGATGTGTAAGTGGTTGTTCAAAACTACCTGTGCATATGTAGGTTTATTTTGTGGTATAAGCCGTATGTTAAGTATATGCACTAGAGGTGTCTTTTCTTTTGCAATGTGAGCAAAACAAAACAAAAATAAACAAAAAACCCAATGTTTGTTCTATTTGAATAATTTCTCATTCAATCTATGCCAAGTCTTACCTTCCGGTTTGTTGGTTTTCCTCTTCAGCCATTTCTCAACTGTCTCGGCACTTACACTTTCAGAAACAAATTCATCGAGTACCTGGGGGTGAAGAGAAAGATAGGCCTTCACTTTTTCATCTGTCAGACCTGAAAAAAAGCAAAAACAAAAAAAATGAGATTTACATCTATACTGTTACTTTGATAAGATTAAGGAATACTCTGAGTATTGCTAGCACCATGGCAACATATTACACAACACACACACACACACACACACACACAGAGTTTTTATCAGGTAGTTTCCCATATACTACCTTCAACAACATTTCACAACCTAGTTCCAAACTACCCTCAGGAAAGGGAGTTTCAGCTAAGTGAAGAGAGGCCAAGAATTTTAAGAGGTGGAGGGGAATGGAAAGTACATTCCAGGCATAGGAAAGAGATAGAGCAAAGGGCATGAAGATGGGATATAGAACAAAGGGACTTGGTGACAAAAAGATCACTTATGCTTATGAAGCATTTTAAATCTTTCGGGGGAAATGTATAGCTCTCAAACCACACTATCTGAGGACTATAACTTAGCACGCAAAGTTAAGAGGAAACTCAGCAATTGTAGTAGACATTATATGAAGCCCACCTATGATACTCATTGAACTAGTATAGTTCACCTATCATCTTCCTTCATCAGACAGAATTCCTCTTTCTAGTGACCATTAATATCACCAGTCTACAGCTCATTTCAGATCCCATCTGAGCATCCATAAGAATGCTTGGCTTCAGGGTCATGAATTTCTCAAGTTCTAAAATCAAGTTTTTTGACTGAGGCATACTTAACAAGGAACACTTAGCTGAAAGGTTTGCAAAATTCAAAACAGAATTATTGTTATGCAATTTTAGATAAGAAAAAAGAGGCTCTGAAAGAAAATGTGGCTTGCCCATTATCCTCCAGCTATTTAGGGCTTGAGGCAAGAGATGAAGGCAGGTCTCACAACTCCAAATCTGAAATTCACCAGTTAGGGTCTTGTGACACTTCACCTTCTTCAGCACCCATAGTGTTACAGAAACAATGGCCAACATACAGATCCTCAAACCTGACATTTCATCTGTCACCTCTTTCTCCTATCTCTAGGCCCTTACACTGGCCAACCTCCATACATGCAATGCTCTGCCTTCTTGCCTTCACCCCTTACTTGCCCTGACTTCCTTCAAGACTCAGCTCAAATCCCACCTACAACTACAAGAAATCTTTCCTAGTCCCCTACCCCCTGACTTTCAGCTGCCAATGCCTTCCTCTCTCAGAATGCCTTGTACCTACCCAGCATATGTCTTATAGGCAACCAGTTGTTTACACGTCTCTGCCACTAAAAAACCCTTGCTGACGACATCACTTCTCAATTAATTCTCTCTTAAGCACTGACAATTTATATGTTTGTATGTGTTTCCTTATGCAGAAGGAAGGTGTGCATTTTAATGTTGGTTGGTTGCTGTCTTTAGCTCTCAAAGAGGAGCAAAATGACATCACTATGCTAGTCAAGTTTCAGCGTGTCCAACAGTGGCTGGTCAGACCCATATGAGCTCAGAATGTTCTACCACAGGTCAGACACAAGTACTCTGTGTGCACATTTGGGGTGGATTCTCTCAATCTGTGTATCTTGCGTTTCTTTTGACCTATTTCAATTCTGCTTTGCTCACAGAGCACAGCACCTTTTCTGACGTGGGCACGCCATGCTGAGTGGTCCTCTGCCAGTGTCTCCCCATATCACACAATCAATTCCAAAGTTCTAAAGTTATGCATTTTAATGTTATTCTGCATATAAAACCCCATATTCACAAAATCACAACCACAGCAAGAATAATATAACATAGCAATAACAACCGTTCATCACAGCTGCTACTCTATAATCCCAGTGAATTATTTCAACGTAACTACTCTTATAGAAGACAGTTAAATGAAAAAGACAACAAATTATTTATCGTAAGAAAACAAGGGAATAACAAAAGGACGTGCTTCCTGACAGTTTAAGAGAGTAGGCTGCATGTTTTCACAATCAGAAAACTTCAATTCAAGAGTGTTAATTAATTCTGACCGAAGCCACAACTGTAGTAACTGTTCAGCTTCATCAATGCATTGTGAACCCAAACTATGTCTCTCAAAACAACCGGCACTTAAACTGTCTATTTAAAACCATCTCCTCAAGGGCAGCTAGGTGGCACAGTGGAATAGAGCACCAGCCTTGAAGTCAGGAGGACCTGAGTTCACATCCGGCCTCAGACCAAATACTTGACACTCACTAGCTGTGTGACCCTGGGCAAGTCACTTAACCCCAATTGCCTAAAAAAAAAGTTAAATTAAATTAAAAATAAATAAAACCATCTACTCAATAGGTATACAAAGGAACAGACAAATGAGAATCTTATATTCATTCCACACACAAAAAAGCCCCAATAGCATAAAATTCAACTTGAGAAATTCTACAAGTAGTCAGAAATCAATCAGTTCATTAAGTGAGTCCATTCTCCTGAAAAAGTAGGCTTTATTCCTTTGAGGCAAAACATATAGAATATGGTTAAAGTGATAATATATTTTACATTACGATAACAACTTATAAAATGAAGTTCAAGTTTTCCTTTGATTTTCACATCTGCTATATTTGAAAGTGTTGAATTCCTCCTCCCTGAAATTGTCCTCCCCATCCCTTTTACCTTTCTATGAGGTTATACCATCAGAAGACCATTCTGAAGGTAACGCCTCTGTTTCTAGTGCTTCCTCCTCCTTTCACACTGTATCAGAAACCATCCATTTGGTGTATATTTTACTCCTTTCTCTCCACCTTCTCCCTGACAATTCCTAGCATCTTTGTAACTTTGGCTATCACCTTTATACAGTTGACTCCCAAATCTGCACCCCCTGTTCTGTCGTTTCACTAAATTTTAAACCCATATTTCAATAGCCTATTGGATGTTCCAACAATAACATCAAATTGAACATGTCCAAAACTAGACACACTATCCTTAAGTTTTTCCTTCTGGCGTCCCTGTTCTCATCATTATCCTAGTCACCTAGAATTAAAACTTAGAATAATCTTTCACTTATTTCTCTCCTTCATCTCCTTTATCATCAATCCAATTCTACAAAGAATATATTCAGGACCTATTATATATAAGATATTCTGTTAGTCCTGTCTATCACCTCCCCTCTTAAATACTTCTTTTATATTTCCTATCAATTCCTAGGCACTCAACTCTTCATAAACTCCTACTGCAAACTGGTTTCGTGGCACCCATTTCTCCTCTTCAATTCCGAGTACGTAATGTATTACCACCTTTAAGAATGCCACTATGCTACTCAAAAAAAAAAAAACCCTTCAGTGACCAACTAATATATGAAATTTTAATTCTCTGCCTTGTTTTCAAAGTGGCTTTTTTAAAATGTAATTCCACCCATCCTACCTATCCAACCACTCTCCAGAATGTGAAGTCTGCGCTGATTAAATTGTCCGCCTTAATATTTCAGGAATATAGAAGCTCAGCTTCACAACCTGTTTTGCTTGCGTTGTTCTCCTCAATTGTGAAATAGCTTCTTCTTTATTCTATTTTTACATATCCTTCAAGTTCCAATTAAATTCATTTTCACAGATTCAGTGTTAGATGAACCCTCACATCAGCTAATCCAATCCCTTTATTTTACATTTATAAGAAAACTGAGACCCAAAGAGTTTAAGTAATCTAGCACAAATCACAAAGGTTATAAGTCATAAAGATGGGATTCAAACCTTGGTCCAATGATGCTAATTCCAGCAGTAACCCAGAAAGCTTGCCTGTGCTTTTCAGTTCCTCCATGAGGCCCTTTTTTAAAAATGATTTTTACATTTTATTGGAGAACTGATGATTTTTAAATTGTGTTAGGACTTTAATGTGATAAATATGATTTTGGAATAACTTTAGCAAACTGTTTTCCTTTTCCATTAGCAACATATTTTATAAGCATCAGAAGGAATATATTATCTCCTAAAATATCATCTCTCAAAGTTGAATACACAGAATATACATTTCTTTTATATATACACACACATGTACATGCGTATAATATATTTATAGTACATGTAATATTACATATTTATTTTGTAAACCTAGAACAATTTTATTCTTGTCATAAGACTGCTGTGGTCTAAGACTATCTTTTAAGAAATTCCTTCTCAATTTCCCCTTCAGAATAAAACTACAAGAAGAAGTTATCTGACTACTTCTGCTATGAATTACTGAAGCAGAGATATTCTCTACAAAAGGAACTAGGAAGAACCTGCTACAAACAATTCTTGCTTTACATAAGTGGACCCTTCTACAGATCTCTATGTAAAATGATTTTTTCATAATGTGAATTCATCTCTACTCACCCACTTCACTTAGCCTATATAACAAAGATATACACAAAGTAATACCTTTATGTAAATCACAAAATGTACTAACACAGACATATTAAACGCTATACTATGGTATGGTAATAAACAGAATTATGAAATGAAAGGTAAAGTTAACGGTAAAGTACGCACAGCACCATACAGTAAAGTCCACATAGGTACGTAGGAGGTTGCCCTTTCCCTACCCACTAGGCTTAGTCTTTATCACTGGTGGTTGGCTACACAACTTTTCTATGAAGCTATCGAGAGATGTTTTGACAGTGGCTCTCTTTTTTCTTTCTTTGTATATCTGACAATAGCAAGCAATATTATCCTTAACCAGTCTTTGAACTTTTAAAAATCTTGAAGTATTTGGATCCATCTTTTCAATACAACAAAAAATTCCCTCAAATGATGAAATGCTTCTGCCAACTGTTTCACTGTGAACGTTTTTGGTTTGACCTCAGGTTCTGAAGCTTCCATTTCTTTTTCTGCAATCTTTGAGGGAAACAGCTCATCAGACTGTCATTCTCAACAGTTCTCCATGATACTCAATCACCTTCTCCACATCATTCTCATCCACTTCTAGGTCCAATTCTTGTGCTAATTTTACAACCTAGTTACTTGCTTCTTTGAACATTTTATCTCTATCAAATTCATGAAAATCAGGAATGAACTGTAGCCACACTTTTTCCCAAGCTCTGTTCATACATGTTTCTGTAACATCTTCCCATGTTGTAGCAACATTCC